AGGACTCTAGAGTATTTTCCTTTCTTCATGGAATTGCTTTGGCAAATTGGGGATGGAGGGGGGGGCAATTAAATGTGCATGAGTTTCCAAAACTTCTGTTCTGTTGCGGTACTCATTCTCATCTTAATAGCTTGCTGTCTTTATGACTAGTTTATTGATGGTCTGAGTCTCCAAACATACACTTCATTTTAGCATTATCCTAGACATTTGCAAGGAAATTTGAAAAACAACTTGCCAATTTTACTAAAAAGTCTGTTGAATGTTTTGATTGTAATTACACTGAACTGAAGGTAGACTGACATGGGTCTTTAAAAATCAGTATTCTAAGCCAGGTAGTGGTGGTGCACACCTTTAATCAAGCACTCGGGTGCCAGAGGCAGGTGGATCTGAGTTCGAGGTCAGCCTGGTCTATAAATTGAGTTCTGGGACAGCCAGGACTACACAGAGAAACCCTGCCTCAAAAAACCAAAGCAGGGATAATAATCAATCTTCCAATTTATAAACATTGTATGTTTCTCTATTTACTTCTCATGAAATTTATCTCAGCAATGTTACAGTTTCCAAGTCTGGTCTTCTTGGAGGTTTGGGTGAAATTTTTTCATGAATATTTTATGGTTTTGATGTGTAAATTCAACTGAATTATAGATTTTGTCAACTTGATTCAGTATATACAGATGACAAGTGGTTTGAGATCACATGCCTGATGACTCAAATGCCATTGTGTAGAATCCTTGGTACTTTCATGGGAAGAGGCATTTCAGCTGTGAATCATGCCCTTTCTCATGGGACTACTTTCTGGTAATGACATAGTCACATCAGCTTTATTATGCCAATCTCTGTGTGTATGTTTTTACTCTTTGCTCTCAGTTTCTTGTGGGTTTTATATTTAAGACTGTTCTTGGATGGATGGCATGTAGTTGGGCACCTCTGTTTGTTGTAGTCTGAAAGTTCCTATTTTAGAAACTTGTATTTATGTTCAATAGCTGAGAACAGTTTGACCTTCACATCTGCCTTCTTGCTCTTTCCTAGTTGCCCCATTTGCATTCTTATTTCTTTATTCTTCATTGTAGCTACTCAAATACATATTTAATACATATTGGAATGTTCTGTTTAATTTAGTCTATTACCTTTTTATATATGCTCCCTGTAGTGTTTCGTTATTTGGTTCCTTTCCTAGGGTAGTCACCATGCATTCCTAATTTTCCATGCTGTTTAGTTAATATTGTACCATTTCAGACATAACTTAAAAAGCTGAAGGCCCATTACCCTCGACCTTCTTTCTACAGTTGTCATGTTTTACATTTACATAGGTGGTAAGATCTACCATGTAGGGACTAGGAAGATGCCTCAATGATTAAGAATGTATACTGCTCTTCCAGAAGATCTGAGTTCAGTTCCCGGCACCCCCATTATGCCACTCACAATCACCTGTGACTCTAGATATCTGATACCCTCTTCTGGTCTCTAGGGGTATTGCACTCATGAGTGCTCCACAACCCCCAACAGACATAATTAAAATAAAGACCTACCACACAATATTATATTTTTAAAGCAATTCTTTCAAGGAAAAAGATGGTATTTTCACATGCATATTTAGTTACTCATATCCTTCATTATTCCCAGTAGATTTCTATTTCTGGCTAGTGTAATTTCCCTGTGGCTCGAAGTTTTGTCTTTAGCTTTTTTTTTTTTTTAATATGCAATGCAAGTGTGCTAGTGGGATTCTGTAAACTTTCTTTTACCTGAAAATGTGCTAATCCCACCTTCATTTTTTTAAGGGTGTCATGTCTAATCAGGATTCTGAGCTGATAAGACTGTTTGAAGGCTGGCTTTGTTAACCCGTTATTTTCTGGCTCCCTTTGTTTCTGTGGCAAAGTCGGCCATCATCCATCCCTTTATCCACTTGTATGTGTAACCTTTCCCTCTAACTGCTTTAAGACATTAGGTTTTTGGTGGCTTCACAATGGATGCACGCTGTTTTGCTTTTCTTGGAGTAGGGAGCATCCTGGATCTGTAAGTAGATGTCTGTCTTTGGATTTCAGAAATGGACCTGCAAGATGGCTCAGCCTGTAAAGGTGCTTACCACCAAGCTGCCATCCATCCCATGCTTCATCCTTCCCAAACAGTTCCACCAAATGGGACCAAGCATTCAAATATATTAACCTATGGGGGCCATTCTCATTCAAACCACCACACAGAGAGGAGAGGGAGAGGAGGGGTTGGAGAAGAGGGAGAAGGAGACCAGGAAGGGGAGGGTGATAGAGAGAACACACTTCATTGCCTTCTACTTCCTGTCCCAGCCACATCCCTGGCTGACTGGCTGACTGTTGGGTGCTCTCACAGAGGGTGGTCTTTTCTCTGTTACTTTGCTGACCCACAGTCAATCTTCTCTGGCAATATGCTTACAGATACACCCAGAACTATGCTTTGAATTCTCTAGGCATCCATAAAAGCATTCAAATTGGCACCTTGAACCAACCATCACGATAAACAACAGTCTGGTATATACAGCAGGTGCTGGGATCAGCCTCAGCGTGCTCCCCCCAGGTGGAGTGGCTCACCCCTACAACAGTCTCCTGCTTTCCCCACATTTCCTCTCCTTATTGTCACCCCATCTCTTGTGCTGTCTGTGGCATTTTCCTAGTCACCAAATCTCTTCAAGCAGAATGTGTTGCAATGGAATGATTTTCTGGTTAGATAAAGACCACATTTCCTCCTCAAGAGTTGAGTGTTGAGAGCTAGCTGTCGTGGTGTGCACCTAAAACCCCAGCACTTGGGAGTGGAAGCAGGATGATAGGAGTTCAAGGTCACCCTCAGCTACATAATGAACTTGAGGCCAGTCTCAAAAGACTCTGTCTCAAAAAATATTACACATGGAAGCATTGTCTCTGGTGTTCGTGCTGGGACACTAGGTCTGTCTCCGGAGCTTTGACTTCCTGTGGCCCACCCTCTCTTCTGTGTCTGCTAGGCATGCAGTACTTTCAGAATAGAACTCTACTTACTTCTACTTCTTCCTTCTATGGTGTGTATTTTATACTGTAGAAGAACTTGAGGGGCTGGAGAGATGGCTCAGAGGTTAAGAGCACTGGCTACTCCTCCAGAGGTCCTGAGTTCAATTCCCAACAACCACATGGTGGCTCACAACCATCTGTAATGGGATCTGGTACCCTCTTCTGCATGCAGGCATACATGCAGGCTAGAACACTGTGTACATAATAAATAAATAAATCTTAAAAAAATAAAAAAAGAACTTGAGTGACCACTGCTATAGCATCTCTGACACAAATAGTTATCTTTTCAGTTTTATTAGCATATATTAAACATATAATGGGTTTTGTTATGACATTTCCACACATGCATATAATGTATGCTATCATGTTCACATATATACCCAACACCCTCTGTGGTCCCACTTCCACTGATCCTCAGCTTCTTCCCAGCTAGTTGCTCTTCTGTGTTCTTCTCTTTCGTTGTGGTGAACCAATGAATTTAATTAGAGCTACTTATAGGAAAATGGTTACAGGGTTATTTATAGAAAAATAAGCAATGTATCTGGCTATATCACTCAGGAAAATGTCTCTCCCTTTATCAGCAACCATCAATTGCCTATATATCTTCAGTGGCGGGGCCTCATTGTAGAAGTCTGTGGGAGTCCAGCTCCAACCTGCTCCCACCTTTTGAAGGGTTCTTGGGTGGAGGAGAGAGAAATGAGGAAATAGTAAGTAGAAAGATAGACCTAGACAATGAGGAGAAATACAGAGACACAGGATAGCTTCGGGAGGTCCCTGGGTCAACACCTAGCTGCCCAGAGGTTTGTTCAAAAGGGCTTTTTATAATATGCCAAGGGGAGAGGCAAAAGACCTCCCCCTTGCAAGATCAAAGCACAATGAACAGCCAAGTGTAGACCCTTCCAAACACCTGGTAAACATGCCTGTGGCCAAATCAACTCCTTATGCAGCCCTGCTGGGTAAAGCAAGCTCAGATTCTCTGACCCTGAGTAAGGTCTCACTAGATAGCCTCTGCGGGCTCCCACACCTCATGATATCCCCCTACCCAGCAACTGTTAATTGCCTATAAATCATTGGGAAGAGGTGGAAACCCATGAACCCCTCCCCCTTTTATGATGAAATGTTGACAGACACAATCTTGTGCAGGTAATGAGAGTTGCTGGGAGTTCAAGAGTGCACACCCAAGTCATGCTCGGGAAACCACGTTCTACCCCACCCCACCCTTTCCTCTCACTCTTACTTTGTTCCCTTCCACTTTTCTTCAGCGTTCCCAAGCCTTGGAGGGAGTGAGGCAGATGTCACATTTAGGAGCTGAGCATTCAACAGTCTCTTATTCTCAGCACATAGATCATTTATACATCTGGGCAGTGACCAACACCCACTGCAAGTGGAAGCATCTCTGATACAAAGATTTCTAAAGAATTGTCTTAGTTACTATTGCTGTAACAAAACACTGTGACTGAAAGCAATTTGGGGAGGAAAGGCTTTATTTGGCTTACACTTACACTTCATCACTGAAAGAAGTCAGGGCAGGAACTCAAACAGGATTCTTGAGACAGGAGCTGATGCAGAGACCATGAAGAAGTGCTGCTTACTGGCTTGCTCCTCCTGGCTTTCTCAGCCTACTTCCTTACAGCACCCAGGATCACTGGCCCAGGGAGGCATCACCCACAATGGGCTGTGCCCTCCCTTATCAATCACCGAGTAAGAAAATGCCCTACAGGCCTGTATATGGTCTGATCTTAGCCTGATCTTATGGAGGCATTTTCTCAGTTGGGGTTCCCTCCTCTCAAATGACTTTATCCTGTGTCAAGTTGACATAAAAACCAGCCGGGACAGGAACCACTGTGTAAGCCTTGGTTCCTTTCCTGAGAAAGTGGCATGCACACCAATTCTTTAAATAGAAGGAAGAAATGCATGAGCAAGCCGCTGCAAGATCAAACTCACATCTCACGAGGGCCTGATCCACTAACATTCTTCTTGTCTTTGCAGAGATGTGTGGGCATAACCCACCAGAGGTCGCCAATGCCACATTCAAAGCCCTCGATTACAAGAATGGCACCATCCTCAACTGTGAATGCAAGAGAGGTTTCCGAAGAACAAAGGAGTTGGTCTATATGGCGTGTTCAGAGAACTCCTGGAGCAGCAGCTGCCAATGTACAAGCAACTGTAAGTGTCCCTTTGTAACCTCAATGGGAAAGCAACTAGGGACAGCAGGAGACAGAGTCAAGCTGCCATTAACTCAGACCAACATAAACTAATGGTAGACAAATCTGTGAGTAACTGGTTTTAGAGGCTTCTGTGACAGCCACTCACTTAGCATTATTCCAGGAGTGTCTACTCATTCTGAGAACTAGGCTTGCTAAGCCCGAGTCAATCTGATTGAGTCCATGACTTTGTTGTTGATCTCTATCCTTTTTTCCTTGAGTTCAGAATGCTCCTTCACACAGCCTGTCTCTGTACTCAGTTTCTTCCCCATTCTGGGGGTGGAGAGTGAGACTGTAGAAAAGTGTTAGTTTTATATAATATATATAATATAAAATATATTATATGTATTTATACAAATATAAACTTTATATATGGTCTATTATATATCTAAAACATTTTCATTGCACATAGTACTTAGTGTATTACACAAGAACATTTTCATACAGGTGCACACTGCTGAATGACTATACTCTGCCCCAACCTGATACCCCTACTCTCCTCTGTTCCCCTCCCATTAGACACTTTTGGTTTCCTCGGACAATTTTCTTGTACTTTTAGGTTATATGGACATACTTAATTTTAGGTACCTATAGAAGACCTAGTAACTACAAATGAAAGAAAATAAGATATTTCTCTTTCTGAGGCTGGCTTAATTTGCTTAATATTGTTATCTCCAGTTGCACTCCTTTTTCTCTTTGTGGCTGGAAACTTCCCATCATCTCAGCTGAGCTGAGAGTAGTGGCACACACGTTTAATCCCAGCACTCAGCAGCCAGAAGCAGGTGGGTCTCTGTGAGTTCGAAGCCAGCCTGGTCTATATATAGTGAGCTCCAGGCCAATCAGGACTGCATAGTGAGACCTTGACTGTAATGTGTGTGTATGTGTTTATGTATGCATATAGGCATGTATTAAAGAAAAATTCCATGTATGCCACATTTGCTTTAATTATTCCTCTGTTGTTGGATACCTAGGTGGGTCCCATAATTGATTTTTTATGTCATTTATCTTTGTTTATTTATATATTTATTTATTTATAGACAGGATTTCTCTGTTTAGCTTTGGAGCCTTTCCTGGAACTCACTCTGTAGCCTAAGCTGGCCTTGAACTCACAGAGATCTGCCTGCCTCTGCCTCCCAAGTGCTGGGATTAAAGGCATGTACCACCACCACCCGGCTCATCTTTCTTTCTTTTTTTTTTTTTTATCTTTATTTCTTAACCCTAAGGATGGAGTGGGTCAGTGAGCCAAACCATGTGTGGAGGGTAGAGTTTAAAGATGGCTGCTCTATTGAAGTGCCTGGTTAACTCACTTTCTGGCAGATCTCCCCTTGTCCTACGATGGTGTTCTGATGCCTCCTCATTGAGGTGCTCATCTGCAACTTCTCTTCATAGCTGGCGTTTTCTTACCATTGCCTTAAAAGCACATTTCTCCCATTTGAAAAGCTTTGAATCACTGCAGGGAAGTGAAGGAATTAATGCAGGTTGTGAAGTTAGACCACTCCCACCTGCTGAGTGCAACCCTGGCAGCACTGATAACAAGGAGAGACCCATTTTGATCATGTTCTAGTCACGTGTACACAAGGATTTTTCCAGTAGGAGAATCTTGCGTTTCTTCTAGGAACATGTTGAATCCATTGTCAATCTGCACATGAATGTGAATGTGCGTATGAGAGGTCAGTGCTAAGGAGAGGTGTGCTGGCCCCATTCAAGGGAGGGCTTGTTTGTTCAGCTTCACAAACCCAGCACTCAGTATTCATTCCTGGATGCCAGAGAGACGTCCTGGGGTGAATGGATGCACGGACAGCTATTTTCTATTCTGAGCATTTTGCAAACTTATTTGCCTCATTTCTCCCATATTCTCTAGCCCATAGCAACTTAAGAAAGCAAGTTACACCTAAACCTGAAGACCAGAAAGAGCGACCAACCACAGAAATGCAGAAATCAACACCATCTGTGCACCAAGGGAACCTTCCAGGTAAGATACACGTCTCAACAACCTTCCTCTAGCTGGCTCCCGGGAGCTTTGGTTACATGGAAAGGAGGAGCCAAAGGAGGGAGATCAGTCCGGTTCTCCACAGGCAGGAGCTCTTCTTCCTTCTCTCAGAACACCATGCAGATGACAACATTGCCTAATGTTGGCAGGCTCCATGCTCAGCATTTCAAACTCTCTTTCTGAAGGTAACAGACTATGGCTTGGGAGCATAAAACTCAACTGCAGTTCAGTTCAGTTCAGAAGCATGTGTTGGGAAAAACTGTGAACCAGGCAACGTCCACAGAAGTAACACGTTGAATAAGCAATGGTCCCTGCCCTCAAGAATTCCTCCTATTTTCTCTTAAGTTCAAGACAATTAACTTCAAGCAAAACCATTGATAACAACTGGCTTCTTATAGAACAGGGTTATAAAATGGAAGCCACAGACAATTATTGACTAGTTAATGAGGTGTGGGTGGGTGGGCACTATGTCTGCCCATACCGTTCCCAAATGAAATAATGATACTCAATTTAAGCCACGATGTCAGGAACAGAGTCTGCTAGGGTTACTTGAGAGTTGCAGGGACTGGTTGGCCATATGAAGACCCCATAGTCTTATGATAAAGCTATAACCTTACAAAGAACTTTCTTATATCATGTATAATCTCATTTGGACCCCACAATCAAGTGAATCACCTGAGACACAGGGAAGTTAAGCAATTTAGCTAAAGTCACATTACAGGGTGAAAGTAAGACCTCTATTCTCCTAGATTAGATAAGGGATCTTTCTAATGAGGGTTTTTTTTTTTTAACTATTTAAAAACTACTCATAGCATCCAATAACGGGGCAGGTGACAATCAAGAAGCATTATTGCGATTTGATGTTTTTAGTCCCTTTCCTCATCCAGCTCCATCCTGAAATTCTGTTTCCAAATACCTTTGTTGTTTGCTCCGCTTTCCTGCTAACCAGTGCCAACCTCTACAGTTAGTGGAAGGTCAACGTTTGTTCTTACTCAAGAGACTGAAAGACCCCCGGCTGAGATCTTTCTCCGGGAGAGACCCCAAACCCAAGGAACACACCGAAACCACAGATCAGATGCAAAAGCAAGAGGGTTTATTAAGACCAGATACCTGGGGCGAAGTCTCTTGGAGGACTTGCGCGCTTTCCTAGGGCAAGGGGGACTTTTTATGGGATCCCAGGGGCAGAGGCGCGGTTACAGAAGCGAGAAGCATAGTTACAGGGTCCCTATTGGTTGTT